TTCTAGTACTTGAAATACTCAGAATAGTCACACAGAATATTTTAGAAATAGCAAAGCTGGCACATGGCTAACTTTCATTCTGAAACTTATCTGAAGTACCAGGCTTAGACCCTAAGCAGTTCTGCATTTGAATTCAGCAACATGCAGTTCTAGCATTATCCTTTGTTCTGTGTCTAACACATATACTATACATGATACACAGTGGGAAACTGAAAAGAATTCCAACACATGGTAGGATAGTTGTGAAGACTCAAGAAAAGACTGGTCATTGAAGAGAAATGTCATTAATTGATTTTTGCATGAAGCCTCTAAGGTCTGAGTGTGCTATGGCATACCTAATTGTAAGGATGCCATATATTTAGAAGTCTCATTTAAAGCCTTCCAGTGATGGCTAATACACCGTGCTAGATCATTTATTTCAGCAGTCAGTCATCTCCTTATTAAAACTGTGCCCATTACTTCTGAATTTGCTTATTCCCAGATGCTAGATATTTTATCTTTTTATAGCATTTTATGTTACACTGAGAGATCTTGTTATCAAAAATCATTACTCCCTGTGGGAAATTGGAACTGAAATGTGAAGGGCAAAGCAGAGACCAACAGGATAGGTACCCAAGTTCAACCTGTTACCTTATTTGTATTCTGAGAAGTATCAGTTTCACCCACAAGAAGAGACTCCTTAATGGAAGACCTGTTGGCTACATGTAAAAAAAAAGCAGCCTTCTTTGCACATTAATTTCTACCACTTATGCTGACATATTCTTTGGAAATAACCTGGACTTCCTGAGGAGGGGAACTGCTCATAACTTTAGCACTTTTTTCATTGGTCCCATTTGAATAAAGTGTATACAGTATAATGCAGCTTTTTATAAGTTAAGGGAGTTATTTTCTCAAATAAAAACATTAAAAGTTGCAAATCAGTTTAGATAAAGTCAGTTATATTCTAGACACTGGAGCAACTTTTCATTACAAATTTGGCATAACAGAAGACAAGTATCCAATGAGACAAAATATCATTTACCCTTTAAATGCCCACAGTGGTATCCTTTCCTACTGCTAATTGCTGATTTTATTTTGCACTCTGGTGTCAAATAGCATCTTTGGAATAGGAGAATAAAACAACAAGAAAACCCCAGTAAATCATCATAGCCCTTAACAAATAAAGTGCTTCAGGAAGTTAAGTACCTGGAAAAAAATCTTCATTCAGGCTTGACATTTTCCTATTTACTTTATTCTTTTTACGGAATGGTCATCATTTAACGAACAATTATCTAGAATATTTACTCTAACAGTAAAGTGATCTCGGTGACTTTAATGCAAGCATTATTCTAAGGGCTGTTTTATAAAACAAAGTAGGATAATGTTACATGGAGATCATTCAGCAGAGCTAAATTTAAAAACAGTGCTCTTACAAGATCTAACAACTTGCAAATTTATGACCAGATCTGGCAGCTTTTCTTTGGACTCATCCACTATGTAAAATTCAAATACTGTGATAATACCATACATTTTAGCAGATGATATAAAAATTAACTGTAAAATAAAGCAGAAAATGTATCATCTCTATCTTCTGATGATCTATCTAAGGATCACCAGGATAACAGGAAAAAGTAGATTCATACTGTTTAGGTACTTCCTTACTATTCTTAATATAAAATTCCTTTATTCCCTTTATTTCTTCTGCCAATATTTTTCCTATATTTTATTGCCAATACAATTTTTAGTACAAATTGCAAAGGCAGTTGGAGAAATAGATTTACTTAGGGCAAGTTATCTGAAAAGTACAGTAAGACAGGAAAGACTCAAAATTCCTTTCCAATCTTCTTTAAACGCTATCTCTTTTTTTTCCAATGGAAAAAAACCACATTAGTTAGTTCATTACTAAATGTGACTGGAGATAAATTAGGCAAGTGAGATATCTCCAAGCTCTGCAATCATCACTGATCTCAGCTGGCCAGATTCCACCCTACAGCCTTCTAGAGGAGCTGAGGGTCACCTCGCTGTCAGAAATCTTGACATTCACATCAGACTCATGGATTTCAAATCAGCTGCAAAAATATATATGATTATTTTGTTGCTGACACGTTTATTTACCAATCAGAAGTGGCAACTTCTCAGTAAGTAAGACTGTATGACAATATAGAAAAAAAAATAAAATTCTGGGTTAAAGTAGATTATAATTTATAATTCAAACTGTGCAGATTTAGTAGAACTTTTTTTCTGTAATCACCTGCTATATGTTTACTCCAAGGTTGTAATTAGTTCAATCTGTTATCTTCATCCTTCATCCTTCCTTAGTTGGGAAGGCTGATTGGTTAATACATTTTAATTTTAGTTTTTTCTCTTTGATTGTACTCTGAGGGAAAGATATAAATAATTCATTTTCAAGCATCCAGTGGCTTCCTAACTCTAACAGCAATGTTTGTAGCCAAGGGCCCATATTCTCTCCTTTGACGACAATATCTCCCTAATTTATAAGTGTAAAGTTTGTATTAAGTCACAGAAATCAGAAAATTCAGTGTATTAAGTGTACACAAAGGGCTAAGGATTTATAAAGAAACAATATTTACAGGTTAAGCTTTATCTTGCATTTACTTGTTTGGTGCATTATTTCTAATTATTACAAACCAATTATATTAAAACTTTGCATGAATATCTATTTTTAGTCTTTAATATGAAAGTTCTCTTTGGACCTTATTTTTTTTAATAGACTGTTCATTTTTCTGCATACCACATAACAGTATGTTATGTTCCAAAATGGTATGGTGGAATGTGGAGAATTTTGTTTTGGGGAAATAATAAATTCCTCTGGCTCTGTACAAAAGGTTTTATTCATCCCTCAGGTGCGTGATCATTATCAGGGTCTATCTTGGCTTTTCCCTTAATTTAAACAAGAACCACCTACTGTAAATCACTTTTTTTGCTTACAGACACGTGCAGCAGCAGATGGGTACCTTCTAATATTAAAAAATATATTATGATTTCCGTTTTTAAAGAAGTTATTAAGTTAATTAATTAACTCATGAATGAAAATTAACACTAATTCCAATGTCAAACAGCTTTTCTCTGCTGCAATTTCTAGTAAAGTTGTTGAAGCTGCTATGCCAGAATATTACATATGCCAAAGCATCTTACTGGAGCATCACGCATCCTTAAGGGACATGCAGAATTCCTTCTCAGCTGCTAAATACAGAGAGTTATTACAATGATAGAGTGCCTGACTCTCACCTCTGCGACCCGGGTTCGATTCCCGGCCCCCTGGGCAGGTGGAGCTCGTCAGCCTTGGTAGGCAATCCACCTAAGAGAAGGTCACTCTAAACAAACCTACATCCTGGGGACCTCACTGCCACTGTCCAAGCTTTGCTCGGCCCCGGCAGATGAACCTCAGGACTAAAGGGTGGGCTCAGTTCAGCGCACGCTGTGTCTCACCTAAAAAATCCACTGCGCAGGCTGGAAGGGTTAATGACCTTTCCCAAAAATCTTCGCTCCGAAGACTGGCCATTACAATGATACTCAACAAAATATCTGTTTTGTACCAGTTGAAAGCTTATCTCCCCACCTTATAAGCTCATGGAATGATGCCTCTGACCAGGCACCACACATGCTAAAAACCAGTGAGTAAATCTCTTACCTCGTCATGCACAATGTTTTACTAAAAGTCATAATACACAGGAAAATTATATCAAACATACATACAGCCTGCTATATTTCTTTCCTCTCTAGTGCAACCACTGCATTGAACTGAAAAGCTGTGCTAAAACTCAATAGGTCTTACTTGCAACCACAGGGATATTCCCTTTCCAACCCACTTGTGCATTAGCACCTGTGTGTCTTTGGGTAGACCCTTGCACTGCTCTCTACATTCTCCCCTTCCACAGCACATCACTATGGAGAGTCACTCTAGTTCTCCATCAATCTTTTTGTCCTTGGTATTCAGGGGAACCTGTGGAGCATTCAGTGAGAATGAAAATAAAAATACGCATCTCTTCCCTGCACCTCCTGAGGCAAACAACAACTTTAGTCTACTGATCTGCAACAAAAGGCAGTTGAGCAGTGTTTTAAATGCCATTAGGTCTTGTTAACTTCTCTAGACTTCTTCCAAGGTATTTGCCATTAGCAGCAGAGATCCATATTTGATGTTGACATGGTATTATGGTACCTCTTGAGATGCAATGAATAAAAGTAGATATACTGAAAAAAATTATTCACAGCATTGCATTAGGAAACCATTTTGTGTTGTTCCATGGAAAGCAACTGATACATAACGATGTTACAGTGCACATTACTGCACAGAGAGTTACAAGATCACCCAGCCTTGCTTAACATCCCAGGTTCAGAATCAGTTTGGTCACAATACTCTGTAAGAGCTAGTGATTTTAGAGTCCTATACATGAGACATGTCAGACAGACCTGTTTTTCAGAAAGTATTAAATCTCTGCCACAAACACACATTTTGGAAGACTGAAATGGACATCCAAGTATTGAGACCCAACAGAGTAGTCTTTTAGAAAACCTTGGCCCTCGTAAACACTGATGTAATTCAGGATTAATGCCATGAATCTGAAAAGATTACAATAACTAAAGAGCAATATGAGATCAGATTTATGCTTCCAAAGTCTAAAATCTTCAATATATATTTAAAGAGAAATAACTTACTCCAGCCTTTGGAAAATGGGGCCTATTGAAAGCATGAAACCTCTAAAATGTTATTTGAATGCCAGAAAAGTAATACTTTAAAAAGTCAAGACAAAAGTGCAAAGAGGAACGGAAAGGAGTGAGCCAGAAATGCTAACATGTTCATTTTCACCCTGTCCCGTGAGCTGGATGAACTCTGCAGCTCCATGGGCATCTCTGGGTATTAACTGATGGACAGTTCCTGCCCTCAGTGACACAGCTGTCATTTCACAAAACAGAGACATGGATGTAAACTGGACTTATGATAAGGTTCCTAACTAAAAAAAAATACCAACTCAGAAACATGTGCCTATGATGATACCTACATTTAGCCGTGACTTTGTACCCGCCCAGAGGAGGGTCGTGGCCTTCTACAGCATCGAATCCTGCTGACACCAGGACAATCTCTGGATCAAACTCGTTGGCAGCTGGCATAATCACAGTCCTGTAGAGTGAAAAAACCCCAACATGTTAAAATCAAAAGAACTTCTATCTTCATGATATAAATTGTCACAATCACAAAAAAACCACAGCACAACATATTTTATTTAACTAAACCAATCTCCATGGTAGCTGTTCAAAATGAAGTCCAAGGCTTCAATTAATTTTTTTCTATAGTTACTATTTTTTTCTAAGACTGAGGAAAAAAAATGCAGGTACATGTGAAAGCCTCTAATATTACTTACACATCTGTGTCTGTTTTATCCTGCTGCCTATAAAAAGCTGCCTCTTCCAAGGAAGTGACTAATGGCTTACAGAGAGCTCTCAAAGCCTGAGTGGAAACCCGGACTGCTCCAGTTAGTGCGAACTTGGTGTAAATTTGAACTATAAATTTCTTTTGGGAAAATGTTTGCTTTCCAAACTTTTTTTTTTACTTCTTAACATTTTTAAATGTTTGTCGAGGTGGGGGGTGACTCTAGCAAAGGAAAAACATGAAATTCCCTTAATCAAATCCAGACTATGTTGTCAAGCCTTTCCAAGGTCAAGCATAACAGGAATGTGACAACCACAAACTAGTGACAGCAACCCCTGCTGGTGTCAGGAAGATAATTCAGCTCCTCACAGTTACAAAGATTCCACTTTTTTTAACCCCTTCCTTGACAAAATTATGTGGCGATATTTTATCGCTTGGGTTTTGCCCTTCTCCAATCTCAAAGCATGAAAGATATATTGAAGGAGAAGATAAACCCTTGCATTCTGCACTTGCACATGCCTTCTTTCAGGCTGACTCCAAAGGGAAGGTGTAAGGACAGTTTTTACACTAGTTTGACAAACACTGAGCCTGTAGTGGCTGTGCTAAATCGAGGGATATCGCTAACATTAAAAGGCAAATACAGGAATGAATGTTCTATTACAAATAAATTAACTCAAGGAAATCCCAGTTGGTCTACACCAGACAGAATATGAAGATTAATTTTATGCATGTGTAATGCCATTTGTTTGAGTTCAATGTTTAATAATTTACTTTATAATCAAGTTAGGTCAAAGAGATCATATTTTTGTTGAAAGGTTTAGGTTTTCTGTGGCAAAAAAAAATAAAAATCACATTAAATATATTTTAACAATTCTCTGGGTTTTTCTTTAGTTTAGTTTTTGATCTGTGTTTTATAAACTTTATTTTGTTTCCCTCAAAGGTAATTTTATTATTAGGAAAATGCTCCCTTTACTTGTTAGTCAAAAAAAAGAAAATTCAGGCTAAGCAAAACGTCTTTGTCAGGGCATACAGCATTTCACTGAATATAGTTTTACATTAGGAAAAAAGAACGGAGGCAGTTTCAATTTTTTTGGTGATGTTGCTGAAATTGCACCACAAATATCTGCAGGCATAGTGATATAATTTTTTAATATTACTTTTTTTTAAATATGTCATTAATAGGCCTCTGCTGAAATATGGATTCCAATACTGAGCACTGGACTTCAAGAAGGACCTAGACCAACTGGAGAGATCAAAAGGAAAGAAAAAAAATTCAAAAAAACATAATCTAAGTGGATAAATAATAGAATCATAATTACTTGATTTGCATAAAATGAGAATAAACGAGTCGACAAACTGTAAGTGGTTGTTGCAAGAGGAAATAAATAACCTGTACTGTAGCTACACTGTGGATAAGACCTGAAGCAGTTGCAGCAGAAAAGCTGTAATTCAGACACTGGAAGAAGCTTTTAATAGTAAGAACAGTTAATAATGTAAATAATATGTTTAAGAAAATTTCTTTTATTTTTTTATAAAAGGTAAAACAAATATCCTTCAAGCTTGCTACAGTTCAAACTGACATGGCCTTGAGGCAGGAGGTCAATTACTTCTCCTCTAGATTTTTTTCCTCTTTTTGCATGATGTATAACTATATAACACATGAAGTACACATACAAATACTTGCATTAGGCACTACAGTGACTGAACAGCTTTGCAGGATAATCTCCACAAAGTTAGGGAACAATATCAGGAATAAAGATCTCCTATGCAACCACATCTTATCTTATGTACATACCTTCTGATACTCTAATTATATGTTCATTGTCTGAAGCAACACATACTTTCCAAACTTCCCCACGTCTGCAACACATGTGGCATGGATCCTGATTACTGATGAGGACTGTGGCTGATACGTAATCTTCATCTGTCCCCATAGCACCATATATCTTATACACTGAAAGAAGGAGGGATTCTATGAAGAACCCTCCCTATCTGCAGCCACTTGAGCTTTTGCCCTCCTCCTCTCCATTCACATTTCCTTAAATTTAAGTAAGGCTCTGTTTTTTATTTCTTCATGTCAAACAAAGTGGCAGCACCACAGAGTTCAGCATAGACTATGTTCAGGAGTCAGAGGATGGAGTGCGTTCAGTGCAGACAGAAGCTGTGGAAACTCAAGTTGCTGAGCAGTTACAAACCTAACCAGGCTAAAACACAAAGACATTTTTGAGAGTCCTATAATTTGGAACATTGGGAAAATCTACCACACTTCTACCACATTTCAAGACCTTGCTCAAATGCGTAAAGATGTCAGCACATTTTTTAATAACTTGGACAAAACAATGCATTTGACCCTTAATCTCCTTCATAGAAGCAACAAAAATTGTTTAGACACAGTCTATTCAAAATTTTTGTCAAATAAATATGTCTGACATTAAAACTGCCAGCCATACTGAGTAGCATTAGGAAAATTATTAAATACTGAAAGCAAGGTCTTTCAACACAAAGCACCAGGAACAGCTATTAACACATCTTTAAGAGTACTGAACAGGAAATAGTAGCAGATTCATAAATCTCTACAGAAATGATATATAGGAATCTCAGCTAAAGAAAGGAGAACGCTATAAGGCTAATAACTGGAGGTAGCATTTAGAATTCACTGTTCTCTTGCTGCTTTCAGTATTACCTGAATTCACATGAGCAAAGTAACAGCTAAGAGGGTTTTTCTGAAAGAAATCTTTTTTTCTTTCAAAAATGTACACAGTGTCTGTTACATTTCACCAGAAGAATGGCATCCTACTTTTGCTATAATATTGTCTCACAAACTAAGTCAGAACTTTGCTGCTGCTACTCTGCATATAATGTACTAGAAGAGATAACCTATATGCTCTCTGTTCTTCATTTATTTTTCATCCTCCACAATATTGAGGGAATTAGAATGTCAGACCTCATCCATCTTACTGTTCTTAATTTAATACTGAAGGGAAACTCTAAGAACTTTTCTTTTGGAAAGATATTAAGGAAAACATAATCTGTTTACTAGGATAGCAAGCTTGATTCTTCTCTTAAACATCTCAGGGAGTCCATGGTCCTTGTTACAGCAGCCAAGACTACTACCTGGTCTTTCAAAAGGATAACAGCCACAAGTGTATCAATTGCAGAGAAGACCATATAGACCTTTGGTTCCTAAATCTTTAATCTGGTCTTCTACATCAACATACAGACAGTTAGGTTCCTCTTTTGAATAAATGCTAAGAGATCTCTGCTCAGAAAAGAGCAGCTTAATGTCTGGAAAACATCACAGCATTTCAGTTTGGCATTAATGTAGGTAGGGTATTTCCAGCTTTTGCCTTGCCTTGGCAGTAATTCCTTTGTGGCACAAAACAGACAAAAACTGACAGATACTTTCCTGTCTTATGAAGTTCTATAAGGAATGACATATACACACAGTTTTAAATATAGGCTTCATTTCACCAGGACATAAATAAAACCTTTTGTCATTGGCCACCTCTCAGGCTTTAGCACCTTCATTATCCCTGAATATCTGTCTTTAGAAAAATCACAGAATCATAGAACCTTAGAATAGTTTGGGTTGGAAGGGACCTTTAAAGATCACCCCGTCCATCCTCCCTGCTGTAAGTAGGGATAAAAAAATGTTTTGAGGCCAACTGTTGTAAAGAAAGCCTACACAAAGCAACATGAAGATCACTTCTCCCTCATAAGCAGTCTTCTCCCACCTCAGGACAGTTGGATGAGCAGGGACAGCTCCTGATCCTTCACTATCACTTGGGAGCAGAGAATCATTAGACCTTGTATCTTGCACCTTTTCTATCCCATCTACACTCTGGAGGGCACAGGAAGGTGTAAGAAAGAGACATCATCCACCAACTACCTCCAAAGGAGCTCCAACAAACATGGCACTTTCCTTCTCGGTTGCCTAAGAATGCAACCCTCTGAATCCAGAGAAAATAGGCTTTTTTTTTTTTTAAATCATACAACTAGCATTGGTCACACACTAATACATATTTATGTTAAACTTCCCAGATTCCTCAGACCAACCCTATGCTCAGAAGTCAGGCTGCAGCTGCCAGACTTGTTACAGTGCTAAGGGTCAAAACTCTACTCACCAGAAATCCTTTGCAAAGTGCACTGGCAGCCTGCAGTCAGACCCAGATAGGAACAGTTATTATCTTACACACAGCAGGAGTAAGAAATATGATTTGGCTTCTGGCCATAGCTCACCAGACAGGTACAGACTGGGGACTGGAAGCCCATCACTTCCTGTTGGAAGCCAGTCAGGCTGCAGAGATTATCAGGAAACCAAAGTTAATACTGGAATACTTCTCTGACAAAATGAGCAGCTTTTGTCAGAAGAGAAATTAATTTTATTCATCCACTATGACTCACACTCTCCTCCACTCTCTTCTCCAAAGAAAATAAAACACCTAAAAGATATATTTATTTTCTGTGATCTTGAATCATATAGAAGCATAAATATTTGGTACAGAATATTCACTTAATGATGACAGCAGAGTTACAGGGGCATCTTGCCTGGCTGACTCTTTCTTTCTTTTCTAAATCATTTTCATTAATAAACATGTCAAAACCTGAAAGCTTGAGCAGCTGCATCACAGAAACTATTTATCCATGGTAAACCTTGCAGTTACAATGAAACTGTGTCCTCCAGCCCAACTTAGCATAGATTCTTCTTTCAGTCTGAAGGTACTGGGAACAGAGAATGTGTCTGGGAAGCT